AAAGAAGAAAGAGAGAAAGAAACACAAATGTGTGAAAAACCAAGTTTGCGTCGATAAGTATATAATACGTAAGATCTATATTTTGAAAGCAAATATGTCACATAGTTGTGCTTGTTACATTTTATTTTTGTTATATTTTATCTGTTTATACATTATACGTACACGGAGAGAATTTTTTTTTAATTTACCCTGCAAATCATGTTAATTGTGAAACAATATAGTATTTAGGCAAATTTTACTATACACAATAAATTTTACTGCAAAATCTTATTGTAGTGCACAGTAAAATTTGCCTAAATACTATATTGTTTTACAATTAACATGATTTGCAGGGTAAATTAAAAAAAAATTCTTTCCGTGTATGGAATGCTTTTTCACAGTTTCTATAAGAAAGAATCGAGGAAAGAGGATTTCCATTTCTAAATTAATAATTTTATTCAATGTTTTTGTGCTAATATTATACATGTAAATGAAACAAAGAAATGTCATGCTTTTACACTTTACTCAAAAAATTTCTCGACGCATTCCGTAATTCCGCTTCGTAATCGAAACAGCAGTTTCGAGGGTTTTACACGATGACTTTTGGAATTAACGCGAGCTGTAGAATCATCGAATCCGACTTCTGCATTTGTAGCACTTATAAATTAAAAAATGCATATCACAAACGTAATAATAAAAATGGTTTTGCAGCATCGATTTCAGTCTCGACGGGGGTACTATTTTTTTACATACTATTTTGCCCGTTAGATAAAGATCGACTTGGCTCTGAAAAAATTTCTAAATTATTTGGCTGTGCACGGAAAATTCGTAAAGGCATGTAAGGGATGCAGGTAGATATAGTATAACTGGCCGTGATAGGGACGTGTCTACGATGAGTGGCGGTTTTAGCATTAAGAAAGGTTTGTTTCGTATCCATTGCCGCCCTCCTTATTTCATTTGTTCGGGATCGAACTCACTTAGCCGCGATGCTTTGTATGGCGGGCCTAAAATAACAGCTTGTCGACTCTGCACTAAGAGTCGTCCTTAATTTCTCGAATGATCGCATTCTCCTTTTGAGAGTATCAACAGAAGAGTTCTCGGCTCGTTGCTCTAAACTTGGATTACATTGATTTGTGCTTTTATTTAAATTTACTTTGTTTCCTGCGTATGCTATTTTTTATAACAAGACTTCAAATTGCAGACTCAAGATCTCTTTTAATGTATTACAATAATTCGTATTGCAAATTAGAATTTGTAAAAAAAAATTTCACTATAGAGAACTGTGAAAACTATATATACGCAAATTTAAACAAAGGTAAACAGTTTAAATTGATTAAAGAATTCCCAGATAGAAATAATCCATGATTGAGATATCATAGGTAGATATAATGGGAATCTGCGCGGTAATTGTTCCGCAAAGTTTTATAATTGTTACAATGTCCAACCATGTATACAGACTTGCGCGTCGCAATTTTTGTTCGTCGAAACACATTGCATAAAGCTTTTTGCATAAAACCGGAATATACTTGTAACTAATTAAATTGACAAACAATTTAATATTATTTGATGCTAATAAGCATCTATAAGAATCCCCTCTCCCCAAATCTGTAAAGAATTTAACGCGAAAAAATATCACCTCAGCTCTCAACCGAGAAGGGAGTTGAGGTGAATTTAAATAAATTTATTCTTGTCAATAATCAAAATTGACAAACATTTTTAGCGAAATAAAAAAATTACATGATATGCTAGAAGACTTAGGTTATTTTGACTTCAAGCAAGATTTAAAACTCTCTCTTAAGTTTTCTTACGTCTCGCTTAAAGTCAAAATAATGTTGGTGCAATCGGTCTTTATACGGCTAGCAATGAAAAATTACTTTTCAATGCATGTGTTAAAAGATATATGTAGCATATAAATGTCTTAACAAAACTGAACTTACTTATATGCAATTATAATTTTACACAATTTGAGTTTGATGTTAAACATATCTTTTACAAAATTCTATTCTAGGTATATCACAAGCGTTGTACATTTTTATTTATAAAACGTATTATACGTAAACGTATGGGAATAACGATAAGGCAGTGTGTAGTCGTTGTTTGCATAGGTAGTTGATGCATAGCCTGAGGTGTGTACGCGGACAAAGAAGTTCCGTTGTTGTTGTTTTGGATTATCCGCAGAGGGTTTTATCCCGCAAAAGTACGACAACACATTAAGCTTGAGCCCGCGGATAATAGGCTGTTTATTTTATTAGTGGTGAACAGTAGCCAGACGTTTCCAACCGAAATTCCAAATTATTTAAATCACATTGTACCGATCATTGCGATTATACAATGGATTTTAATTATATACTGTAAAAATTAATATATATTGTAAAAAACCAACAATCTAACAAAAACAATCTTAATAGTCAACTTTTGTAGTGTTCAACTTAATAGTCTACTAATAGTACATTTTTTGTTTTTGTATTTTAAGTACTTTTTGTATTTTGTATTTTAAGTACTTTATGTAATCTTCTCATCTTATTGCGCCTTTTTGCCTCGTTTGATTAGAAATTCTTTACGTGTATCTATATTTGATATTTACATTCGACTACGTCGAAACAAATGATGTATGTGTATTGCACATCTTAAGGCAAATTTTATTATACCATTACTTATGTGTGTACCTTTTATTTATATGTATAAAAAATATCTCTCTCCGTATTTTATTAATAAATTCATAATCTATCGTTGTACTGTTTCCTAAATAAGTTTCATCTTATGGTAAAATTTATTATTTTGTCGTAAGACGCGCGCGCGTATAATACACATATATCATATATGTTTTCGACGTAGTAATGTAGATATAAATTTAAATCAAGAACACGTATATTGTATGCGCGCGCGCGTTCCATGTCAAATGACTATATTTCTAATACAAGAAAACAAATTTATTTCTTTTAATAGTCTCTACTTGTAAAAGAGTTAATTTGCTTTCGTAGTGGATGTTGAAATTTTGATACAACAGCACAAGAAGACACGAGAAGTCAAGATCGAGAATATCTTTCTACTGCAGGGCCCGTTAATAACGGCGATCAGCGGGTACTCCTGTAGACTGCAAGATTGCGTCGCGTCCTGGAACGGGCATAATGGCGGGTCACCATGACTAAAAGGGCTAATCATGACAAATGCAGCCGTTGCTGCTTCTTCAAGGGTCCGAGGAATCTTCAAGAGGATCTCGCAGAGCCCTGCATGCTCATTCGTAGCTTCACCTCAGACTCTTAAAAAGATTAGTCGCGTTCGTACGTGCGAAACGCATCGAGTTATGCATTCGCTATAGTGTTCAATGTATCGTTTGTTCGTTCAATTCGATAAGTAGCATTTATTTTCGCATATCTGCCTATGATTTCATTGCACTGGACGATTGTCATTTTGCAAACTCTGCATTTAATCTGTTTAATCTCTTTGCTGATTCTTCAAACACGAAAGAAAATCATACATTATAAAGAGAAAGTTAGCGCGCTCGTTCCAAGAGATTGAATATGAAATCCTAACTTTTGATAATTGTATCTACACCAAACAATTAAGCATGCAAAAAGTTAAAGAGATAAGACACACACACACACACACACATATATATACATATAGCGATTAGCAACATTACAGTCATTAATCAAGCATAAAAAAACGATGCAAAGTTTTTTTTTTATAAATGGTTTTTGATTTTTAGAATATGCGGTAATGTTTGAAAATAAAACTTTAAATGGTACGAGTAGTATATATGTATGTCCCATTAGACGGCTAAAAGGAAAAGAGGATAATAAACGATAACGTGAAACATATTTATTCTTTTGGACAAACAATTAAAGGACTTTGCGCTTTGATTCAAATAGACTTTAATTCAATATCAAGAGATGTTTGAAATGATATTTGAAAGACGCCAATATCGAATAATTTCAATAATATGTGAGATTATTGCTTTTTTCTACTGTTGCATTGTAATAGAAATAGTGAGCTTGACGAAGAGCAATTTGTCAATTAATTTGTTCCTCGCTTGTCAGAACGGAAACTTAACGATTCGATAATTATATATTTCATACGATCAGCCACAGCTGCGTATCAGTTTATACCTGACAGGTTCGTTTTAAAAACTCTTCATCCAGCCGACGTTTCTTTCTTTTGATCGACTCAATGCGACGGCCGTTGGTCCCACTTGTAACTTTGAGAGTAATTTGTAAGATTAATTAACTATTAACATACATAGAAAATGTGCGCTCCATAGCGTGGAAGAGAACATAATCGCTTATTTATGTTGTCTAAAACTGAAAATAAAATTTCAAAATAATGAGAAAAGGCTCGGTATTCAATGCGAGCATTTTTTCCAATTTTTTAACCAAGATAGTAGATATTCAGCGATAATATCTTTAATAATTGAAAAAATTATCAAGTCATTTCGTCATTTAATCTGTACAAAAAAATGTTATGTTTTATGTAATTGCCAATATATTTTTGTGATGTATACTCTTCAATTACAGAAATTAATTTAGTCTATTATTACATGCGCGCGCGCGCGCGCGCGTGTGTGTGTATGTGTGTGTGTGTGTGTGTATAAAACATACATATATGAGCATCACTAATAACATTATTAATATTTACACTTGCACATGCATGTATTTTCTGTAAACTATCATAAATCAATTAGTTGTAAAATAATGACTCTTTCTCTCTCTCTCTCTCTCTCTAATAATAAAAAATAATCTTATGTTAATAGCGATGAAAATTGAAAGGAGAGTTTCAAGCCGCGAGGAACCGCGCTTTTTTCACCCCGTCGAGGGCCTTGCCCTCAATGTGTAACTCTATAACCTGGCATATCTGCACATTTGTATCGAGCCACGGGGTTTCAAGTCGTGGCCTCTTTTGTTGGCCGATGATGTTGTTTCGCTTCGTTATTGGTCGCAAGGTTGCATGACATGTACATACGTGTGCACACTTCAGTATGTATCAGTATGGATGCCGTTCAGAGGGTCGTTCACGGCGGCATATGGCCGAGTATCGTATTACGAGACGTTTGTCATCATCAGAGTAGTCATTGTTCCTTAGAACTAAGGGTGCTACCGTGCACTGGCAAATTTCGGAAATGCCGCGGGCCGCCGAACTAAATTCTTTACTCACGTCTTTTTGGCTTCCTCTTTGATGAGGAGAAACATTATCTTCCATTAGATGGAAACTACACGTAACCTGTCCTTAATTAGATTACGCGTAAAAATAAAATTATTCAATTTTAATGATGGCATTAGACGTACTATTTCAGCGCGAGCATTTTCACATTATACCATTAGGTATATCGCGTTTCTAACATGTGCATATGTATATCATTGTAATTATGTATGTATATATAACTAATTTTTGTAATTAAAATATAAATAGAGTATAAAAATGAAGTCGATTTTTTGTTCTTTTAACGAAGCGATGTGTATTTATTTTAGATATCCGTGCAAAAATTTCGAAAATAACAAAATTGAATTTTCTTTCGTCTACCTGTACGAGTAACACGATCCACGGCTTTCCCGCTATCAATCGGCCATCATTACGCGTAATCAAGCGAATAACCGGGTGAGGTATTGGACTCTTTTCGGAACTTTACTCCATAACGCCTCGGAAGGGGCGATTCAGGTGTGTGAACAATCTGACCTTTTTGAGTGGCAGCTGTGGCGGGATTTCGCGGAGAATTACGAGTTTTTTTTATCCCGAATATGTCAGCCGCACTTAAAACCTCAATTTCGTAACCCATTCATGTCATAGGTTCAACTATTTTCTGGTAATAGTTTTGTGAAAGACCTCCCGCGGATCTGCCTACCTGATCTCGCATAGAAGCGTATCTTTTTTTCCATGAAAGTATTATCCACTTTTGGAAATGGTTAGATATTTAATAAATGGAAAAAAAAATTTTTTTCAAGTTGATCGCACATTATAATATCATATTGATAGTAAAAAGATTAAAATTAAACGATACATGAACCGATCTTATCAATCTTGATTTAATTCAAGCCACAGTCGAATTTTGAACTTTTTTTAGTTTCTACTTGTAGAAGAAAACGAAAAACAGTTAAATCAATTAAGAAATTGAAATTGAATATAAAATAATAATTACATTAAACAGAGCATCACTTATATATATATATATATATATATATATCTCAGTGGTAGCATACACAGCAGAGGAATCCTTTACCGCGCGACAATAATTTCAGTAATACAACTTCTTTTATACAATATAATCGATTTATATTCCATCAGTAGATTAACTAAATTTATCCTTTTATCTAAATTATTATACCTGGAGATGGGGAAAATCAGTTTCGTTTTGCTTTTTTATATAATGTCGGATCTTTATTTAATCCGACATTTAATTAAAGATGAAGAAACTAGCTAGGGTATAAATTTTTATTTATTTAAGAGATACACGTGCAAATATTTCCTTTTTAAATCAAGTTTTTTTGAGTTGTTTTTATTTTATATTATCTAAATCTTTAATGTATTAATTTATTTTTAATTTATCTTTATTCGCATCTACTTGTTTGAACTCTATTCTTATATTTTACAACCAGTTAAAGTTAAAGTTGATTTCGTGCGTTCGCTGACCAATAAAAGTATAAAACCAATAAAATATAATAATCACGAACCATTTTAATTTTGGTTTACGGTTTCCAATTTGTCGCCTTCTCTCTCCTATCTTTATTTCTCTCTTTTCTTTATTATCTTTTACAGTACAACTCGTCACGTTTGGCCGCAGAGCCGCGGGATGCAGAAAAGAATTCGCACGGTCGTTAAACCGTCGAGCCTCTTACTCGTCTATAAGCTCCATATTTTCCTGGCAATAAATTTCTCAAGAAGGGAGAAGGGGTGCTATTTAAACGTGAGTTGCACGAGGGGTGGTTGCGCGTTACAACGACGGCATCACAGCGATTCAAAATCATAGATATATACATATAAGAATCTGATATATTTACAGTAGTACTAGGAGAAAATACATGATCACGATTATGACTTCTTGTAAGAGTATTTCAAATTATTTTGATAACAATCAATGAATTAATAACAACGAATAAATATAACTCATTAAATCAATTCGTTGAATTGTTAAGTTAGAAAAGTTAATTGTAAGTTAGAAAATCCTGTTAAATTTTCTAATTGTTCCTCGATTTTACGAACGTGATCTTAAGATCATTCTTGTTAAATTTATTATTTAGGATCAAAAATGCAAACGCGAGCATTGTGTACATATAATATTCTAAAATACGGTTCATGTATACATTGTTTCATCTTTCATTCTCTCTCTCGCTCTCCCCCTCTCTTACTTTTTTTTATTTCTTTCATGTTTAAACAGTACTGCAACTATACTAAATATTTATCGGAATGAGGGAGTTTGTCGCTGTTAAAAGTGATTACTTCAAAACAGTTTATTATTAATTTTTTTTCATTTTACAAGTTTTCGAATCATGGAATTACCCTCGTGTACGGATTGATTTGAAAGGATTGAAATTGAAAGGTGAGTTTTGGACGAGTCGATCGATGCTGCCCATGGGAGCAATTGAGAAATCGCGTTGCTAATAACAGATTCTATAAGACAGACAATTTCTACGGCAATGTAGAAGAAGTTGATCTTTTGATCAACTGAATGACTGAAGATTTAACGCGCGCGCGCAGCTTTTACAATTTTTAGTACATGGCACGTCTCAGAAAAGAAACGATCGATACGTCACCTTCGATCATTCCCAATCTTTGGTTGATCTTTTTAAAATTGTTTGCGTCGTTTTCACGGAGCGATTCTGTGAAATGGAAACAATGACAAACTGCAGACTGTAAGGTTCGGTAAACTGGATAGTCGAGTTTTTGGTCTATCGACATCGGTTCCCGAGAAAAGTTAGAAGTGACCTTGTCGTTTAATTCTCAGGAGATTTCGAGGATACTTCGAGAAAAATGGAAATATCATGTTGTGCTTGTATATTAGCAACAATGACAAATTACAATATAGTATTATATTATAACACATGTCTAAGACAATGGAAAATGGAAAACATTAAGCTTATTATATTATTATTATATAAATACTAAAGTAATTATCGTCAATTAACTTTTTCTTCCTAAAATTATATTGCAGCGCTTTGCATACTTATTGCTACATGTATTTGACGCGAAATATAATATCACCGCGTTCATTAATGTACAAAAAAAAGAGCATATTAAAAGAGCTTTAAATAAATTATATTTTAATGCATTTATCTTTAAATGCATTTTTTGTGCATGGTATTTTCAAGAAAGTTCATACAAACTCGGTTAAAGAGATAGAATCACAATCAACTAAAAGAATGATTTTTATACATACTTTTTCGTCAGTACATGAAATTAATAAAACCTTTAGAAATTTAATTAATATTGATCTATAGAAAACATAATGCAATCGCTATAACGTACTTTTATTTAGTTATAGTTCTATACTATAATTAATTTTTATATTACATACATGCGAGCGCGCAATCCCCCCCCTTCACCACACACTTCTTCGCGAATTTTTTTTTATGCACGATGATTATAATGAAACAAAAAAAAAAAGAGAAATGAACGCGACAAAAATGAATTTAGTTTTTGCTTTCTATGTTTAATCAAAATTGTCTCATATTTAGATGAGCATTGATTATTAATATTATATTTTAAAATCAATTCAAAGGAAAGGAATTTTTAATAATATTATTTAGCAGCACAGTAATATCATAATTTCCATATTTATATAAGTTCAACATGTTTACCTACAACTTGTGCTAATCAAATAAGTTCTGATCGGATTATACATAAGATCTTGTAAAAAAAAGGTTGCAAATGTCATCTCTATATTAATGCAGACTAAGATTTATTCATTGTGCATGTATATATGAGTATTTTTCGTAAGATACAAGATGCTGAAACGAGATCTGTTTTTACTTAGCTTTTTGCCCAGTGAAATATTAGACGTTGTAGACGAATATTCAAACGCTGTTAGAGCCATCGATCATCACGACGTGGACGTTCTATATGACAGTGGCCAGAATGGCAAACGCTGTTTTGGCATCAAGGCTGTAGGTGCAGGTTCCGGAAGTGAATGGACACCCGCGAAATGGAGGATAACCGGTCCTGTCTCAAAGCAATGTCCCATAGGATGACCTATTATACTAGCTGAGCATCTAAACAACTAGTATATACCTCTTTGTCTACTACGTAAAGGTGTTCTCCGATTGATGGATAGCGATTACAATCTTTTTTCTTCCTCTCCTTCTCCACCCTCCCTCTTTCTCGAGCGATAGCGCGATGATTCATGTTGAAATACGTACTAGAAATGTAGATTCCAAGATAAAGCGACTCATCCTTTAACTTTTAAGTTATCAAACCTGTTTTCGGTATGCTTGAGGCGCGAAGACATCACCCGTTTGCGAATGCACTCGAGAGACATCAAGATGTATAATAAACATGGAACTATAAAATAATTCACGCCAATTAATATTTCTCCAGTTTCTGATTTTCAATATTAAATATTTTTGTAAGCGACTAACAAATTAAGATGTGACAAGATAAAGTTATTTCAATAAAATCCTGTTAATAAAATTTTGTTATCTTTTGACCTTTATGTTTAGTACATTAAAACTTCTTTATTTCATTCTTGATTATAACTGGAAAATTATTTGTATTTTTATATAGAATTAATAATATTTTTGTAAAAGAAGATACAGACTTTGTATTAATTAAATATTTAAATAAAATTATATGTAGATAAAATTTAATAAACGTGTATAAATATCTGTCTTGTACAATATTAAATACATGCTACTGTTGAAAAGTATTGATACATAAAATTCTACATTCAAAGATTCTACGATTTTTTTTGCAATTCTTCAAAGATTGCAAAATAATGAAATAAAAAAAAATATGTATAAGATTTCTTGGTTATACACATACACATATCAGGCATGTCTGATATTTAATTTTTGTTGGAAACAGAACCAATCTCTTTATCTTTGCTCCTTTCGCTTTCTGCTCTTTCATCATGACGGGAATGATGTATTATGTACTCATGTTTGTGGATAAAAGTAACTCGACTTGAGATCGAGTCGACTTTTTGTGTGTGCGTGTGTGTGTATTTTGTGTGGCAGCGAAAGAAAAGAAAAAGAAAAATGAAGGAGAAAGGGTAACCATGAATTTCTGAGAGGCTGACTCAGACTGTGATTAAGTTATAGTTAGAGGTAGCAGGTACCACTATACGTTAGACAGGTGGATTGTGTCGGCAGGTTGCACAATGATCGGCACCTTTACAAATCAAAACAATTACTGTCTTCGGTAGTCCGGACGCAATGAGATGATCCATAGTGAACGCGATGATGAGTCTTGCCTATTAATTATCCATCCATACGCTGTAGAATTTCTTTACCATCTACAATGCGGGTTACGCTTCTGTCTAACTGTTTCAGAAGCCGTGATGGTGCCTTTGATTCGCCATTGTGACGCAGTTTTTAACACTACATCTTTAAAGCTTTTACTTGGATATATACTCTTAAAAGTATTCTATGTTTATTTATTAATACGATATTTGTTGGCTGCTGGACAGTACTGGGTGTGTGTGTGTGTAAAAGATAACAAACTTTTTAATAAAAAATTTTTCTGCATTTTATTTTATAACTTTGTTTTGCAATAATAGAATTATTTAAAAATACACACAAAGCTAAATAAAATAATGTAGAAATTTAATTTAGTTCTTCTATTAATACAGTAACGGAGTATATACTGCCAACGAATATACAAACTAAAGACATAATTATATATTTAATATATATTATCAGTTTGTTATGAGTTAAATACGAGATGAATATCTTATAGAAAAATATCTGCATATATTGGTATCCAGCAAGAGACACAGTGTAACACAGTGAATTATTACATCCGCGCATTGTTGTTTGCCAATGTTAAATTTCATAAGGATGAAATAGTTTACTGTGTCATTTGTGTTACTTTCTGAAAAACGCCCATTATTATCTGTTATTTATATAAAAAACTCAATTTATTTTAAATTTAAAGAAAATTTACCCGGCTTTTATCGTTAAATTTTTCTTTTAATCTTTCAACGAAGAGAAATTTTTCTTTGAAAATTTTATTTCTATTTAAAACTAATCGAGATGATAATCTCGCTTATAACCTCGCTATTAACCTTGCGAGATGACAATATTTTTAATTCTAGATTGGATATAATAGGATCAACGGATTCCCAAATAATGTACAAGTATAGTTACTATTACAGATCTTTAATTAGTTCTTAATCCTTCTCTAAATTTAAATCTTTAAGTCTACTCTAGTCGTAAGTAGGAAAGAGAGAAAAGAATATAATAAAATATCCAACTGCTAATTTATTAACATGTAATTAATTTAATTTAAGCTAGCTGTTTGTGTCACTTTATCACACATGAAGTTAGACAATATCGTAGGAGTATGTACACAAGCTAGGCGTCACAATGCAGGGATACTGATTCATATATGTATATATATTATGTATATGTATATACAATATATATATATATATATATATATATATATATATATATAAGTATATGTGTCCCTGCAATTTCAGATGGGTAGCATTTGTGACGCCTTGTGTACATATATACCTACATACACATGTACAAACATAAATCGTTTAATATCTTGATTGATTGATAATTATAAGACAGTTATAAAACTCGTTGTTATAAAAACATGCCGATCGAGTTCTTGATTGAGAATCAAAACTCAATTTATATTTCATTCGACAAAGCTACGTTTCGTGATACTACCTCCACGGGCTTCACGTTATCTTGCCTGTGAAACTGGTCCTGTCAGATTGGCCCGTTTCACGGTTAACTCGGTGAAATATGAGAACCTTTGGTCGGACACCTAATAGGTGCTCGCAACAAATAACCTCACGCGAGAATGTAGAGAAGTTTATAGGAGAAGAGGAAGAATATGAACAACCGAGCGATGTGGAAGGTATACGTGATAATCGATCGTCATTAGCACCCCGCGGACGCCGCGCGCATGGTATAGACGTGCAAAGTCGGCGCGGCAGGTCGAGA